AAAAAAAAAACAAAAAAAAAAAACAAAAAAAAAAATAAAAAATCTCGCACGGCATAACGCGAAATAATATAACATATGGTGCACATTAGTCATTGTCAAATTGCACAATAGTGTTAGAACATATGCACCTTAATGTGTTCGAGAATGCACATTATAATAACAATGCGATTTTTCACAAAAATATTAAAAGTTAGGTCATTTCATTCCGAGTTAGGCTTTATTTAGAAAAGAAAAATAAAGTCTTAGAACCGACCGAACCATAAAGAAAATTCTTTTTATATGTTATCTATATATATTTATTTATTTTCATCAAACAACAATATAAAGTGTTACCTAAAAAATTACAGATACTAAATATATTTTTGTGCAAAAAAATAATAATAAAATTATTGCACTTCGAATGCACATTAGTACTAGTCTGATTGCACATTACGAATGTTAGATCGCACTTTAGTGTTAGACGAAATGCACATTAACGACTATTAGATTGCACTGTAGTGTTAGACGAAATGCACATTAGTATATATCAGATTGTACTATAGCGACTTAACCCGACCGACTTTGTTTCTTTGTGTTCGAATTATATGTCAGATCGATTATATGTGTTTACCTTTAAAATGACAATTATTTTTGTTCGGCGTCAGCTTTATTTTTTTGAAATAACCAAAATGACCGGACCGACCAAACTATATAAAAAATATTTTTTTTTTTATATATTTTATTCTTATAATAATACTATTTATTCAATGAACATAAATAAAAATTTAGATAAAAATATTAATTTGCACTTTACATAACAATTAATATCATGTGGGCCCCACCATAAATCAAACAACAAAAACCAACCAATCCCATCCCAACTATCTCTCTCCTCTCTCTCTCTCTAACACACACACACACACACACTAGCACACACTCAACACACACATGCAAAAACACATAATATTCGACCACCACGTCTCACCACAGCCACAGCCATGCAGTTGCCGCCGCTCACATCCCGCCACAGCCGGAGTCTCAGTCGCACGCAGTCGCCAGAGCATTGTCGTCGTCGCCAGCTAGCCCCCGAGCAGAATCTCTCTGCGGCGACGATCGACTGTGCCCCGTCGCCCATCTCCTGCGCCATCCCCCGTCGCCGGCGTCATCCCCGTCGACAGCGCCGTCCGCCGTCCCCCGTCGTCGGTGTCATCCCAGTCGACCACACCGTCCCCCGTCACCCCCGGCGTGTCGAAATCGGCGAACTGTAGCCGTGCTGTATGTTACAAGTGGCATCGAGGAGAGAGGGATAGAGAGAAAGGGAGAGGAGAGAGGAGAGAGGGGAGAGGAGGAGGGGTAGTTGGCAATAATTATTGGTGGGGTCCACTTAATTATTATTTGGTAAATTACACTACTGTCCTCCAACGTATTTATTTGTCCATGAAATGGTAATATAATTACGATATTCCCACTGTAGGCTTGACCACTGTGACTTGATTTTGATTTCATCATATACATTGATATAACGGATCCAACGGTCCATGATCATTCTTATTTCTTTCATTATCTACCATTCTCATATGATCTCTTCTCTCTCTCTCTCTCTCTCTATATATACATGACTTTTTTAATTATTACGAGATATGACAAATTCTAAAAATGAAGAGAATGTATATATGGCAAAATATTTATTTTAAATTTGTCTAAATATTTTTAACTTAACTACATAAATTATAATAATAATAATAATAATAATAATAATAATAATAATAATAATAATAATAATAATAACAAAAACAACATTATATGGCAATAAATTTTAGTAAAAAAGAATAATTGAGTATTATTATGAACATAAATAAGTAAAATTATTATTTTTTCTATATCAAAAAATAAATATAGNAGTTTAATCAAACTTCATAGAAACTCAGATTATGGATCTAACCAATTTTAAACAGACATACAAGAAAAGGTAATTTCGCAACCTACCAAAACAAAGTCTCGACACGTCAAATTGTTTGCCAAACTTAAAGCAAGTAGTAAATAAATCAGTTTGCAGAAAATTGCAAATTTAACCAAATCAGAGAGAATATTGATTATAAATCCCAATTCGCACGAGAGAAAGACCAGAGATTGTTAATGTAATCTCTCTCTCTTTCTCTCTCTCCATTTTTGTCGAGCAAACCAAAACAAACTTCATTCTCTCCACGTAACGTCACTCATCGTCAGTAACGCAAAAATCCCTCATGTTCAAATAATAAAAATCTTAATGAGTCTCACAGAGCACGCACTAATGGCGTCGTCTCGAGAAGGCGAGGAGCCCAGCCATTCCTGGGAGGAACTTCTACGGAGATTGCTGCCGGACGGCGCGCCATTGCCGGACGAGGACGAGCTCGACTACTCCATTTCCTTCGATTACGTCGGCCCCTCCCCATATTACAAAAAGCCGCCGATCAGCAACCCCGCAATCCCGAAGGCGAGATTCACAGCTTTCCCCAAACAACCACCGTCGCTAACACCGAGGAACCCCTATTGGCTCAAATCCCGCTCAGGCTCCGTCACTGCAAACTCCGACATCGAACAGTTTAGCACGAGCTCGATCGATTTCGACTGCGCCTGCGACGGCGGAGATTCCGAGCCCACGGACGGCGATCCTAGCGATCAGGACGATTTCACTCCTCCTGAAATCGAAGTGCGAACCGAACGATTTAGTCCCAATTCGAACAGTTTGAATGCGAATAGAAAATGCAACAGATGTAGAAAAGGGGGCAACGGGCTGCTTTTGAGGGGAAGAAGAGAAGCGTGCATCGTCTGTGGAGCAGAGTACTGTAAGAAGTGCTTGTTGAAGGCGATGGGGACGATGCCTGAGGGCAGAAAGTGTGTCGGTTGTATTGGGTATCCAATCGACGAGGGAAAAAGGGGGAGATTGGGAAAAGGTTCGAGATTATTAGCAAGGCTGTTTGGCAGATCGGAGATGAAGCGGATAATGAAGGTTGAGAGAGATTGTACGGCGAATCAGGTGAGGCCGCAGCAGGTTGTCGTTAATGGGAGAGAACTTAGACAGGACGAATTGGATGCATTGCTGGGTTGTACGTTGCCTCCTAGGGATTTGAAGCCCGGGAGATATTGGTACGACAAGGATTCTGGGCTCTGGGGGAAGGTGAAGATGATTGCTGATTTCTTTTTTTA